TATCTATCTATCTATCTATCTATCTATCTATCTATCTATCTATCTATCTAATATATATAATATATTATATTTTATATAATACATAATAATATATAATAATATATATTATATATCTGTTTAAATGAAGTATATATAATATATATTATATCTATGTCTGTTTAAATGAAGTATGGGGTTTTCCTTCATATGATTATCTAAAGTATACTAAGCATCTAGATGATTTTCTAAAATCACAATTCAAATGAAATCATTATTTCATGGGTATAAAACATAAAAACAAATACATTTGCTCTCTAAGATACACACATGCACACACGAAGCTTTTGACTACAAACTTATTTTCATTGCCACATATTATCTCCCTCATCCAAACAGAATTTTTATTGATGTAGTCATCACATGTGTGTATGTGTATTCCTGAACCATTTTAGCACATAGTATTTGAGACTGAAAGTAAGATGATAAAACCCTTTATTCTTTCATTTGAACTAGAAAACTATTATGCTGTCAATTAATATGTGGCAATGTCTGATGTCTTCTTTTCCCTATATAATATGTGGCAATGAAAATAAGTCTACAGTCAAAAGTATGATATATACATATATATATATATATATATATATATATATATATATATATATATATTAGAAAGCAAATGTATTCATTTCTGTATTTTCTAGACACTGTGAGATGGAGAGCGAGCTCCACACTTCTTTGATGTGATCTTCTCTTACCACAAACCCGAAAACAACGAAGCCAACTAACTATAGACCAAGGCTGTGAGCCAAATAAATCTCTCCTCCTTTATCTTACCTTCCTCAGGGTTTCCCCATTGCAACAGAAAGCCAACACAAACACTCACATAAACAAGATTTTTAATTGGAACAAGGCTGATTTTGTGTGGATCAGTCTATGATTCTTGCCAACTCCTTGTAAATGCGGTGTTTATCATTTTAGACAGTCCTGCTGTGTAGCCTAGGCTGTATGCCACTACAGAAGCACACACAGCAAAGCCAACAGCACTGGCTAAGTAAGATGGAAGGTGAGAGACTCGGGAAGGAGTAGTATTTTCACGTAACCTTGGGAACTGAGAAGCATTGTGAGCAGAGGTGGATGAACGGATCACACAGTATTCAAGGCACAAGAAGATCCAGGTGGTTAACAAGTTGTTGGTAGTTCACGAGCCAGGATGCGTGCAGGGCACATATATGGAGGGTGTGAGGATCTGCAGGACTGTGAGATAGCGGGGAAAAGCGTGTCAGAAGAAAGCAGAGGCCGGAGCTGAACAGCATCTGAAGGGCAACCCTGAAGAGTTTTGGGGAAAGGAGCTGCATGTCGCATCTGCACATCATGAAGTTCACTTTGATGAGGGTATGGGAAATAGCTGGCATGAGAAAAGAGAGCTTGGAAGTTATTTTAGTAACCAAGAACAGTGAAGAAATAAAATAAAGCAATAGAAATTAGGATAAAGGACAGTAATTAAAGATATACTTAAGAGGCACGCCGCAGAACCAGGAAGCAGAGTAAGAAAAAAAAATCAAGGGTAATTTTCAAATATTGCTGAAAGTAAACAAATAAAGCATAACTACTAGGTAAACAACTATAGAGGAGATGTCATTTCATACACTTGAATAGCTAAATCACATGGTGGCAAGTTCTGACAAGGATACAGAGAGACCAAGACTCACGTTCATTGCTGGCACAACTCTACAACACTGCATCTACCTGAGAGTTCCTGTAAAGTTAAACGTAGGGCACCTCAGTGACAGAATGCTTGCCTACGTGTGCCAGGCCATAGAGTCAACTCCAAGGCTGCAGGGGGAAAGAGTTAAGTACAAATTTAGCATTGAAATGTATATGAAAAAAAAAATGAACCCACAGGTCTACACAAAGGCCTTTACACAAATAGTTAGAACAGCTTCATTCTTGCTGTCCCCGAACTAGAAACAATCTAGACGTTCAGCAGCTGACGATCCGCAGACACTGGAAACAGTCACAAGCTCGTCGACTGACTGAAGGATATACAAATCGTAGTGTATCCGTACGATGGAATACTGTTGACAGCGTGGATAAACTTCAGGGCACGCTAAGTGAAAAAGCGAGCTGTAGGAGGGCAGCACCTATGATCTTGCTCACGCGAGTGAGTAAGCGGAGAAGGCAAGCCTTTAGAGGTTACGGTGCAGACTCGCTGCCTGGGCCTGGGGCAGGAAACAAGCTCCAGCAAATAGGAGGGATCCTTTTAGAGAGACAGAATTGTTCTAACACTGGATTAAGGAAAAGGCTGTACAACTCTGTCAATGTAAAAATGTCACAGAATGATATGTGTGTTTCCAATGTTGGAAACAAAAGAATATAGAAATGTATTCCATGAGATGATTTCTATTTGAGACATTGTAGGTTTTTATAAGATTTTACTTATATGTGTATGGGTGTGTCTGTGAGAGCGTGTGCCGTGGGTGGACGAGTACATTCAGAGTCTAGAGCGGAGGCTCTCAGCTTTCCTAATGTGGGATTCTTTCATGCTGTTCCTCATGGTGCGGTGAGCCTGCTGTACAATTATTTCGTTGCTACATCGTAACTGTGATTTTGCTGCTGTTACGAATGGTAGTTATGGGATATGTGATTCCTGGGGGATTGTGACCCACAGTTTGAGAACCACCACTCTAGAAGTGTCAGATCTCCTGGACTTAGAGCGATAGTCAGTTGTGAGCTTCCTACCTCGGGTGCTAGGAACCAAACGTGGTCCTCTGGAGGAGCAGCCAGTGCTCTTAACGCCACCTCTTCTGCTTCTCAGACCTATTAGGCTGTAAGTGCTACGAGAACATGCTGAAGGAGAAGTTTGAAGACTCCGATCTCTCGCTCAGGAAGACAATCCGATTAGAAAGAGTGCCTCTGCATTTGGAGCCGCTTACTGTCACGTGCTGTGGGACACAGTGGCCGGGGACTGCCTCCTGTAAAGCTCCACACTTAAGCACTGGTGGCTGGAGGAGGGTCCCGCTCCCCAGAGCCAAGCTCTTCCGAGCAGACTTCCGAGGTTAGCCTCGGCGTGCATGTGCGCCTCATCTCCATATTTATTACTCCAGACAAGATCTAAGGCTTTGCCGCAGAGAAGCCTCTCAACCTCTCCCCTGCGTCTTTAACCTTTCCTCATATCAGCATCTGATAGGTTGCTTTCTTTCTCTCTCCCTTAGCTGCATTTGTAATTTCAAATGAGATAGATGGTCTCTTGGTATTTGCCAGGGATTGGTTCCAGGACTTCTCGTGCAAACTACAATCCGCGGGCGCTTGCGTGCACACACTTCCTATCTGCACCTTTTTGTACATTTGAACCGTTCCTGGATCACTTATAATACCGACTCCAATGTCAATGCTGCGCGGACAGTGGGAATAGGATGTTGGTCAAGAAACGGGTCTCTCTACATGTTTACTGCGGAGGTAGTTTTCCTTGAGTCTTGTGGATCCACAGGTGAATGAGCCACTGGTGGTGGGGCCCAGCACGCACGGAGCCCACCTGAGAGGAATGGCTAACTGCACCTCTACATCTTCACAAGCTGGGGTCAGTGCACAAGCTGATTTCTGAAAAATTTATTTTATACATACGAATGTATGTCTACAAACCACAGGTGTGCCTGGTGCCCTTGGTGGCCAGAAGGGGACACCAGGTCACCCTGAAATCAGGTTGATGATAGTGCCTACCAACAGATGGTTGTGAAGTACCGTGTGGTGCTGGGAATCAAACCTGGGACCTCTGCAAGAGCAGTGCTCTTAACTTCCGAGCCATCTCTCCAGCCCCACAAGCTAGCTTCTGAGTGTGTAAAATACTGAACAGTGCTATTTTCTTTTCCCATTTTCCCCTTCTTTATTAGCTGTGTCTTGACTTACAGCATGATGATTTTTTAACACTTATATTCTGGTATATAATCCTAATGAACTATTTTATATTTTGCCTCTGATTTACTTTAAAAGTTGAGAAACAACTTTTAGATTACTTGTATTATTAAGACTACCTAATTAGTATTCATGACAGATCCGTGAGGTATGTAGGAATAACACATCTTTTCCTCATGAAGCAGTCTCTTTTCTTAGCCTCTATAAGATGGTTTAAAATCATTCTACATTTTATTTGCATCTTATTTGCTTTTTCTTTTTTGCATCTTATTTTTGCTTTTTCATGTCTTCCAAAGCTCCTCCCTGTGCTTTCTTGACCGAGTGCCCCATAGAATTGCTACTGAACAATCAAGCTGGCATTCCAAAGCTTCTCTTCACTGGATTGATTCTCTCTTCC